ATCTTTTCACGGTGTATAATTTACCTTTTCATCATTACTGTTTCATTAGAAACACCGACGCAGCTCACACTAGTTTTTAGCTAGTTATATCTTATGATTTTATGAAGAGATGAGAATATGTGGACCGCGTAGCACTTATGAAATACATGAAGATATAGAAATATAGATAAGTTATAGTGCTGTTGTTATAGTTATAGCACTATAACTTATCTATATTTTTATATCTTCATGGATTTTATGAAGAGATAACTAGCTAAAAACTAGTGTTAGCAGCTACGGTGTTTCTAATGAAACAGTAATGATAAAAGGGTAAATTATACACCGTGAAAAGATGATGAAAAAACTTACTAACGTTTCGGACGCTAGTTCTTTTACTCCGACGGACTAGCGTCCGAAACGTTAGTAAGTTTTTTCATCTTTTCACGGTGTATAATTTACCCTTTTATCATCAATGATTTTATGACTTAGTGACCAGTTTTGAACGGCTTCAAAAGGGCAAAATCCTCTTTGTTACACGGCTATAGAATTTGTTGATATATTTGTAAAAGCATATATAAAATAAAAACTTTTGATAAAGCTTTAAAATAACAGAACATTAATGGCCGACTTGGAACCAATTGGGAAAGATGTAAGGAAATTATGAAAATAAATAGAATAGTTGCCCAGAGAAATTGGTTACGGAAAMATTGTCAAGAAAACGAATAATTGAAGGCCTAAGAAATAAGTTCTCAAGCTCGATTGAATAATTTTGTGTATTCTCAATGAACACAGCTGATAGTATAGTCATAGAATAGAATTCAAAATTGACTTACCATTTTCAGATTGTGTTGTTTCATAAAAGTTCCTTCCTGCGTAAGGCAAGTTGAAGTAACGATGCGGTTCCAGCTTAAGGAAATATGAAGTCCTCCTTCCCTGTCTAGTACCTTTTCCTGGATTGACTTGGCGAGCTCTCAATTTACCAACTTTATACCCAATAGGGAACTTACCAAAGTCTTCGGGTCGACTTAAGTTCGAAGTGGATCTTGACCACCCACACTTGCCCCTCATTTTTCCGATTCTCGTACTAACCTCTGCTAAGTATTCAGTCTCCTCGTTTTGATCTGCGACAGCGAGTTTCTCAGCCGTGATGACTTCGTGTATTATCAAAAGTTTTTCCGTTTGAGCGTCCTCGATGATGTTAGTATCAAAAACAAGCTTCTTTAACCAAGCATTTAGCACTCTATAATCGACTGTAAGTTGGGTAATCGTTCCTAGAGAGATTGGAGGACTCATACTCTTTTGTCCAACTTCGCCACTAAGATCTTTTCTTACCGTTGCAGTTACAGTCGCAGAACTTTTACTTTCACTTTCGTCATAATCACATAACTTCGTTGACAGGATTTTAGGCTCTGCATCAGATTTCTTTTTCGATGTTGACTTGAATGCAATTTCACCGATGGGGTAGAATGGCGGTCGTTGTGCTGAGAACAAGTTGGTAACAGACTGTGTCAATGACGATTGATTTTGGTTTTCTTCCTTCAATGAAAGGAAGGTCAATAGCTTGTAGTTTTCCACATCTCCAAGAGAAGGCACAGGTATATATGAAGGGAAATCTTTTGCTACAATGTCCGCCACGGTTTTCCAGTCGACGCGTGAGGACATGACAAGCAGTTTCGTTTTTATGCGAGACAATACTGAAACTAGTGCTAGGAGTGACAAACATTCGCGAAGCAGTGGCGCAATGATGTAACGAGAAACGCGTCGAAATGACCAAATGGTCTTTAAATAATTAATTTTGTATTTTTTTCGAGCATTAAAAGTTTTTCCAAGAAATAGAGGAAATACTTCAAGTAGGAAACACAGTACCGTAAAAATAAGTCCCAGCTTGTTTATATATATATTCATTTCTTTATCTGTCCAATTCTATTTAATAAAAACTACTTTATTAATAATGGGCTACAAACGTAAGACAATTCATATAAAGATTATGATATTAACGACTAAAAAAGCATAACTTGAGCTTGTCGTCACAATAAATACGTCTTGACTTGATTCTAGATTCCCATTGGTTAAACCCTATATAGTGTTATGATCTTAATGACGCAATGTAAAAAAAAAAAACGATTCCGCTTGACTTTCTTTGTTGAAAAGCTCATATATATGTAAATATACATTAAATATCATTAAATATACATATGTA